GCCATAAATATTTTCATCACTTCCCAAAGTTTCCTCTCACCGCTATTATTATTATTTTGTGCTGTGTGTGGTGAGAACAATTAACTAAGATCTACCCTCTTAGCAAATTTTCAGTATGCAATATGGTATTGTTAGCAATAGGCCCTATACCATGCAGGAGAACTACAATTTTCATTCTTGAGACATTCTGCATTTTTTTTTAGCTAGTTTTTGTGTTTTGTGGTTTGTTTTTGTTTTCTGGGGGTTTTTTGGCTTTGGTGTAAAAATTGTTTTTTTATGATGTTGTGTCTTCTGAACCAGGAAAGTATTATTGAGGTATAAGACCTAACAACTTCTCTCAAGAATATAAACTTTATTGTTAGGAATAAAATACACCATGATATCCATCTTTTATGTAGCATTAAATTTGAAAAAAATGAAGAGGACATTTTAATTCTAAATTAATGGCTGTCATAATAATACATTTGACCTTTGACTCATTGTTCTGTAAGAGTTTGGTTGTAGACAACTCTTTTGACATTTCTTTAACTGCTGCTTTTGTAATATCAAGCTAGATGTTGTGTTGCTAATTGCTTGAAGTTCTGTTTAAATTTCTAGCTTTATTTAAAAAAAATAAAAAACCTCAAAGTCTATATAATTCTGTCAAAGGATTTTCCAGGCACCATGCTATTTTTCCATTACCATTTTCTTGATATTCATTGTACATGTAATAATTTCAAAAATAGCTGAGACATAATCTTTAACTATTTTGAGTTTTACAGCCTATTTAAAAAAAAAAGAACCTTCAACAATAATAGGTCTTTCCTCTCTTATGTAAGGAAAACATAATTAGTACTTCCAGGGCAACTGCCAAACTGAATCTAGAAATGAAAGAAAATGATTCATTTTATAATATTCTGAAAGAAAAATAATGCTGAGGAGAAGAATAAAAAAAAAATCATGGAAGCCACCCCAAAGGACCAATTATCTTGCTTCAACCCAACAATATTTATTAATGCTCTCCTTCTGTCATTCCTTTCCACATCCTTTTCTCTTTATTACCCTACATTCACATCATCTTCATCTTTCTCCTCTTCCACTCTCCTACCCCAAAGGAAGTACAAATAATTTAGATTCCATGATTTACCAGCTGTACCACACTGTATATTTTTCTCCAAATAGCTATTCTTCTTTCTAAAGCAATTTGCACTGCTCCCTCTTCTCACTCCTTAGGAAAAGTTCCCCATATGTTATTCATTCATAGTTCTGTAAGCACACTGGTCTAAAATGAAACTCTGTTAATTTCCTCATACCATATGTTCTGGGTCCATTCCCCCAACAAGTACTTATTATAACACAGAATTGAAAAGTATCCATCTTAGATGTTATCTTATTCCAACTCATTGGTACATCAGAATCCACAGAAAAGCGACGTGAAGTAGTCCCTCACTCTGCTAGAACACACTAAGGATGATTCAATAATTTAATGCCTCCTAGAAGCTACCCATTAGACACTAGTCATCATTAGATTTGTTTTTTCTTAAAATTATATCAAAATACATTTCCCTATACATTTCTTGCTTTATTCACAGCTCTGTCCCTTGGAGACAGACAGGTGAAGACTAATTCCTCTTCTACATTTGTTTGAAACTTAGGTCTTGCTACTTTTTCACTTCTCAGCCTTTTAAGATGTTTTACACATTTTCTCTCACTCTTGCTGTCAGTTTTACCACACATCCATTTATCGTCTCTAAGTAGACTACCCTTTTAACAAAACTTTTGATTCCTTAGAATGTTATTCCTCCTTTTAAAACCACAGGCAATATTGTTGCATCTGACCTTTACATTTATTCTATAATAAGGAAAAAATTACCCTGCCTATCACCTTTGCCCTAAGACTTAGCATTTCAAATAAAATGACTTTAACATCAGTCTTCTCTGATGTTTCATGGTGTGCTCAGATGCATGGTATTTGTTCTCTTTATCAAAATAATATATTTTTTAATTCCCCTGCTGCTTGGCACTTATTCACTAGAATTTTGTTTTTTTATTTTGTCAAATGACAATGACATGTGATTTTTATGGATTGTACCAGTAGTTTAGTGTTGTGATCTCAGACTACATACATTAACTTCTGGCCTTGATTTCTTGAGACAGATGGTCAAGAGGTTAACAGTACTGATAAGTTTTAAATTCATTCATATATTTTTACACACTGGTTTTTATTAAGCCCTATCAAGATGATACATAGGGCCACATATATTACAGAAATGTGATCATCTTCATCTTTTTTCTACACAATCCCAGCAACTTTGAATCCAGGGTCATCTGACTGTCTTTTCTACAGGGATAACGTGAGCTGCTGATTGTCAAAACTTTCGTCACATTGTGATTGAAAGTTTATAGTCTTAGTCTCTTTTTTTCATAACTTTTGCTTGACATTGAAAGAAAAAAATTGTCAGTGAGAGAGCTTTTACATTTTTTAGAGAATATGTCTGTGTTTTTATTTCCTTAGAGGGAAGGAGTAGACAAGGGGAAAGGTTAGAAAGGCATTGAAGTGAAGTGGGGAGACGGTGGACTCACAGACGGCCAGCCAAAATTAATTCGACCTAAGTGACCTTTGACAAGTCATGTACATCTTTGGTCTTCTGTTTTGGCCTCTATACCATGGTACCAGTGCCTTAGATCAGTGTTTCCCAAATGTGTTTTAAAATATTAATCTAATTGCTGTGTCACCTGAAAAGGTCAACTAAGTTTGGGAAATTCTACAACCT